TATTTTCTTTTGGTATAAAGATCCTTTGTTCTTCCCTAAAAGAACTCGATCATTAGAAACCAAAAGAGAAATGAGTTTGACACAAAAGTTTTTGTTTCTTGTTCTAGTTTTGTTGAGTCGTCATGCTTATTCTGGCTCTATTGTCAAGTTTCTTCCTGGATTTGAAGGTCCTCTGCCATTCGAACTCGAAACCGGGTTTGTAAACTGTCTCTTGTTTTTTACCAATGTGCAATTATGTATTGTGTGTACTAAGTGTTATGATAAATTAATGAAAGTAAAGAACACAAAAATGTAAAAATGTTTAGAAGAATAATTATATTAGATTCTCATAAATGTAATATTACAATTTATATTTTCTTATATAGAAAGATTAGGATAAACATAAATGTAAATAATATAACTAGAGATAATGTTAATTTTTTTAAACGTAATTTTGATATTTATCACATATCTTTTAGAATAATATCTTCTTATTTCCATAACTTCGTTTTATCTTCTCAACCGTCGATCTTGGTTTATCTCTGGTTCTCCATCTCCCAATATGTTAATAGTTCCATTGGTAAAAATATTTAGTAAAAATCTAACGGTTCGAGTAGCGCTTGAGACGAGACTATATAACATCCTCGAGCCTGAGGGGTTGTATAAGTTTCGGCTCATTACCGCTTAATTGTTGAAAAGAAAAATGTATTGTGAGTTCGGAGTTAGTAATTAACCAGTCATATGAATGAAAGGTACATTGGCATTGATGAGGAAGAGAATGTGCAATTTTTCTACTACTTCATCAAATCTGACAAGAACCCGAAAGAAGATCCTCTTCTTATATGGTTAAATGGAGGACCAGGATGCTCTTGTCTTAGTGGGCTTTTTTTCGAGAACGGTAAAAATCTAATATTTTTTTTCTTTAAGCATTATCTTAAGGACTTATTGTTTAAAGTGGGAAACAAATAAAACAAATAGGACCTTTGGCTTTCAAGTCGGAGGTTTACAATGGAAGTGTTCCTTCTTTGGTCTCTACGACATATTCATGGACAAAGGTTAGCATAAATTACGTTCATATAGTATAACAAACATAACGTAATGATATAATCTTCATCATTTAACATTTTGGATCATATTCTCAGACGGCAAACATAATATTCTTGGATCAGCCTGTTGGATCTGGCTTCTCGTATTCAAGAACTCCAATTGGAAAAACTAGTGACACACATGAAGTTAAGAGGATCCATGAGTTCCTTCAAAAGGTGAGAGACAAACATATATGTCTTTTTAATAGCATTAGTCTCTGTGCCTTTAAGCTCACGTATATGTTTAATTCTCGTGGTTTAGAGTTATTGATTCCGAAATCGATATGTAAGCTTAACCACACCGTTCTGTATTCGAACACCATGCCAACATCTAGCTTTTGCTTTGCAGTGGCTAAGAAAGCATCCACAGTTTTCCTCAAACCCTTTTTACGTTGTTGGAGATTCTTATTCAGGTATGATTGTTCCAGCCCTTGTTCAAGAAATCTCAAAAGGTATATATATTTTTTCTTGATCATATTAATAAATCTCAATGCACTTTTCTTTAGATAATTGTTTAGTTTGATTTTCTCTAACGTTTTAACAATATAGACATTGTGATGCATGCAGGGAACTATATATGTTGCAACCCACCTATAAATCTTCAGGTCATTTATATTTGATACTTGCTTCTTATATTACGTATTTATATTTTCTTAAAAGATTTAAAATTTTCTTGCCAAAAACAGGGTTATGTTCTCGGAAACCCGATAACACATATCGAAATCGAACAAAACTATCGTATTCCATTTGCTCACGCGATGTCATTAATCTCTGATGAACTCTATGAGGTATGAAACATATGCAAAGCTAAATTTTAATTTTAGTTTGTCATTAGAGAGTTTTAGTCTTTCTATATATCTAATGATATAAGTTTTTTCCAATTTTCAAAAATCCCAAATGATATAACAATGCTCGAAACTTTGTTTTTATAGTCATTGAAGAGATTTTGCAAAGGGAATTATTTTAATGTGGATCCAAGAAACACAAAATGTTCGAAACTTGTTGAAGAATACAATAAGGTACAATTTGGTCGATGATTTTTGGTTTTTTTTTTTTTTTTTTGTGGGATTGGTAATTAATATAACAGTTAATTCAGAATTTTCTTTTTGGTTTATTTTCAGTGTACCGACAAAATAAATATGCATCATACGTTAATACCAGATTGCGATGACCCAAATACACGAAATATATCTCCTGATTGCTGTGTAAGTAATACATCTTTCCTCCATCTAGTGATCCATGCATGTTATGTGCCTATATATAAACAATGTGTTAGTGTATATTTCTAAGTAATATATTTTAACTATAAGGTTGGTTTTTGAATGCAGTACTATCCGTATCATCTCGTTGAATGTTGGGCCAACAACGAGAGCGTTCGCAAAGCTCTTCATGTTAAGAAGGTATAATGACATTTTTAGTATAACATTGATAAAACATGAAACTACAGAGACAGTGTATATTGACGATAGATATTTACAGGGGAGCATAGGAGAATGGATAAGGGATAATCCGAATATTCCATACAATAGCGACCTTAAAAGCAGTGTACCGTACCATATGGATAACAGCATTTATGGCTACCGATCTCTTATCTTCAGGTTAGAAAGTTATATAGTTTAATTTACTTTTCAAGAATGTGTAAAATCCGATTAGAACCCGATTCGGATAGGATTTGTTTACCAATTTTATTGGAAATCCGAAGTATAACCGAAACATAGATAAATTGGTTTTGAGTGCGGATTTTGGATCCAAATTACCTGAAATATCTGAAATTTGTCCTATTAAACCCAAAATATCCAACCCAAATTATCTGTAAAATTTTAAATTAATAATATATATATATACATATATATGTATTGTTTCGGTTTAGCAGATATACAATCAAATTTTGTTTTTTCCGACTTTATCCCAAATCCGAATCACATTTTATACAAAATTCGATCAGTTTTACTAAATAACCGAAACCGATTCATATCAGTTTTCTTGGAAAGGGATTATATGCCACACCTAATGACAACTATTGGTTTTATTGATTCAATACAATTAACGAGCTAGCTAGGTTTTAATTGTAGTCGAATAGAATAAACCCAATTTTATGAAAAATAATTATATTTTCTAAGTTGTAAATGTAATGTACAATCATATTATATAACTAAAAAAATTATTAAATTCTGTATATACTTATATTTTAAGAGGATTTATTAAGTACAAAACCGAATGAAAAAAAAAAACTGAAGTTAATTTCATTGAACCGAACCAAAACCAAATCAAACTATAAATGGTTTCTATTTGCTTTTCGTGGAATAAACCTGTGTGTTTTAACGAACAGTGGTGATCATGACATCACGATGCCGTCCCAAGCAACTCAGGCATGGATAAAATCTCTAAATTACTCAATCGTTGATGATTGGAGACCTTGGATGATAAACCACCAAATCGCTGGGTAATATCATATGATTTCTCTAGTTCATTCTTATTAATTATCAACATATATATCAAGCTCTCGTTAGACATCATTGTTGCATTTTTTATTATTATTTTACAGGTACACAAGAACTTATTCTAATAAGATGACATTTGCTACTGTCAAAGTAAGTCTTCTCGTTTCGATTTTAAACATTTTTATTTTATTTTCTTATAGCATTACAATGTAACAAAATACTTTTAATTGGTTTGACCTTTAATTTATGATTATAGGGAGGTGGACACACGGCTGAGTATCTACCAAACGAGACCTCTACCATGTTCCAAAGGTGGATCAGTGGCCAGCCTTTGTAATAGAGACTCATCGCCTTAACAAATGAAAAATAATAACACATGTACGATGAAATATTTGTAATGGATAAGGTTCATGGCCTTTGTGATCATGCTTCTTTGTCCTTTGTCTCCTTGTATTGGTTTTCTCATTAGCGGCTTGATATATACTAAATAAGTTTGAAGAGAAGTTTCTGTTAACGAATCGATTTTTTGGGTTAAACTCAAAGTCCGGGCCTTTGTTAGTAAGTGCTAAAACTAGAGACACAGCTTGATTTGTTAGAGTGTCATGAAGCCACTTTTCCGACTTGGTTAGCTTATAGGATGAAGCAAAGAAAGAGATAGAGATAGTGAAAATATAATGAGAACTGATGATGCTTTGTAAATGTTCTAGTGGAACTTTGAACTAGCATGTATAGGTTTTTATAAATTATTTTTACGCTATTTATGAAATATATATATATATATAATTTTATACACAAAATAATATAATTTGTGTATATTTATAAGTTTACACACATATTTGGATAAATGTTAACATTTTTAGTGGTTTTTTGATCAAATTTGAAAAAAGTGTATTTTTAAAAAATGGTATTTGAAAAAATGTATTTTTGAAATCCTCCCTACTTAAATTAAATATGTATATTTGAGGTTCACATTCAAATTTTTAAAAAATAATAAGATAAAACCTCAAAATATGTATATGTTGTTATTAACATTTCAATTATTTTCGATAAAACTTTATATAATTTCAAACCCGCGTTTTTACAATATCTTATATAAAATACAAATCTTAATTATTAGACCAACATTATCATTAAACTTACTTATTATTATACTCTAAGAACAACGTTAAGATACTCCTTAAATCTTGGACATGGTCTTAAACATGTTGTCGAACGATATAAAATTGCTGTACAAAAGTAATATACTATTTAAAAAATACCCAATATACTAATTGTACATTAATGTTTTGGATGAGCTTGATGGATGTGGCACGCAAAGCTATATAATTAAATATATTTTTTTATATTGCGTCACCTTTTTATCTATCCAAAGAGCTCAACGTGAAGCGACTGACTACTAGATCAGTGAGAGACTAGCTATTTTTCATTTTCTTTTGGTAATAAAGATCTTTTTATTCTTCCCTAAAAGAACTCGATCATTAGAAACCAAAACAGAATGAGTTTGACACTAACGTTTCTGTTTCTTGTTCTAGTTTTGTTGAGTCGTCATGCTGATTCTGGCTCTATTGTCAAGTTTCTTCCTGGCTTTGAAGGCCCTCTGCCATTCGAACTCGAAACCGGGTTTGTAAACCGTCTCTTGTTTTTCACCAATGTGCGATGTTTTGTGAGTTTGGTGTTAGTAATTATCCATTCTTATGAATGAAAGGTACATTGGCATTGATGAGGAAGAGAATGTGCAATTTTTCTACTATTTCATTAAATCTGACAATAACCCGAAAGAAGATCCTCTTCTTATATGGTTAAATGGAGGACCTGGATGCTCTTGTCTTACTGGCCTTTTTTTTGGGAACGGTAAAAATCTAAACATTTTGTCTTTGGCTAAGCATTATTTTCAAGGACTTGTTTAAAGTGGGAAACCAAATAAAACAAATAGGACCTTTGGCTTTCAAGTCGGAGGTTTACAATGGAAGTGTTCCTTCTTTGGTCTCTACGACATATTCATGGACAAAGGTTAGCATAAATTACGTTCATATAGTATAACAAACATAACGTAATGATATAATCTTCATCATTTAACATTTTGGATCATATTCTCAGACGGCAAACATAATATTCTTGGATCAGCCTGTTGGATCTGGCTTCTCGTATTCAAGAACTCCAATTGGAAAAACTAGTGACACATATGAAGTTAAGAGGATCCATGAGTTCCTTCAAAAGGTGAGACAAATTAAGAGAAGTGTCTTTTTAAAATTCTTTGTGCATTTAAGCTCATGTATATGTTAAATTCTCGTGGTTTAAAGTTATTGATTGATAAATGGATTCCGGGAAATCGATCTTGGGGAGATGTAGGCTTAACCACACCATTCTGATTTTTTATTTACACCTAGAAAAAAATGGTTTCTTAGGTGTTTAAAAACCAACATCTAGAGGTTTTTGCTTTGCAGTGGCTAAGAAAGCATCCACAGTTTTCTTCTAATCCTTTTTACCTTACCGGAGATTCTTATTCGGGTATGATTGTCCCAGCCCTCGTTCAAGAAATCTCAAAAGGTATAAATTTTCCCAATACATTTTTCTTTAAATATTTGTTTGGTTAATTTTTCTCTCACGTTTTAACAGTAAAGAAAATGTGATGCAGGGAATTATATATGTTGCAACACTCCTATAAATCTACAGGTCATTCATATTTGATCATTGCTTCTTATATTATGTATATACATTTTCTCCAACACTTCAAATTTTCTTTGCCAAAAGCAGGGTTATGTGCTCGGAAACCCGATAACACATATCGAAATCGAACAAAATTATCGTATTCCATTTGCTCATGCAATGTCATTAATCTCTGATGAACTCTATGAGGTAAGAAATCTATGCAAAAGTTAAATTTTAAATTTAGTTTGTCATTAATTTTAGAGTTTTAGTCTGTTTTTGATATCTAAGCTTGCCAAGTTTAAAGCCTCAAATGATATGACAATGTTTTTTTACAGTCACTGAAGAGATTTTGTAAAGGAAATTATTACATTGTGGATCCAAGTAACACAAAATGTTTGGAACTAGTTGAAGAACACCATAAGGTACACATTTTGAAGATTTTGCTCGATGTTTTTTTTTTTTTTTGTGTGCTTGGTAATTAATATTAGTTGTTCTCTTTGGTTTATTTACAGTGTACTGACAAAATAAATAGTCATCATACGTTATTACCAGATTGCAATGACCCAAATACACAATATATATCTCCTGATTGCTTTGTAAGTAATACATCTTTCCTACATCTAGTGATCCATCATCCATGCATGTGCCTATATAAAAATAATGTGTTGGTGTATATTTCGAAGTAACATAATTTAACTATAAGGTTGGTTTTTGCATGCAGTACTATCCGTATCATCTCGTTGAATGTTGGGCCAACAACGAGAGCGTTCGCAAAGCTCTTCATGTTAAGAAGGTATAATGACATTTTTATTATTACATTTGATTGATAAAACATGAAACAATAGAGACAGTGTATATTGACGATAGATATTTACAGGGGAGCATAGGAGAATGGATAAGGCATAATCCGAATATTCCATACAATAGCGACCTTAAAAGCAGTGTACCGTACCATATGAGTAACAGCATTAATGGCTACAGATCTCTTATCTTCAGGTTAGAACTAATTTACTTTTTAAGAACTAGTTTTTGCTTCCCCTATAGAGGTGGGTAATGAAAATTAGGTTTAAGCGTTCGGATTTCTGGATCGGATAATTTAGATTGAAATGCACATAATCCGATTATAACCCGATTCGGATCGGATTGGGTTGGATTTTTTCGGATTCGGATTATTACATTCTTATTAATTCTCTTATTATGTAAGTATAAAATTGTTACATTCTTTATATACTGTAGTTATATTCTTAGAGGATTTTCTAAGTACAACCAAATTGAAAAACCAAACTGGAGTTACATAACCGAACCAAACCCAAATCAAATTATAAATGGTTTGTATTATAGTCGAATAAACTTGTATGTTTTGGTGAACAGTGGTGATCATGACATCACAATGCCTTCCCAAGCAACTCAGGCATGGATCAAATCTCTAAACTACTCCATTGTTGATCAATGGAGGCCTTGGATGATAAACGATCAAATCGCTGGGTAATATCATATATATGTTTTCTCTGTTCAATATTTTTCTCTAGTTCAATCATATTATTTCATATTGTTGCAATTTTTTTTTGTTTTTATGACAGATACACGAGAACTTATTCCAATAAGATGACATTTGCTACTGTCAAAGTAAGTCTTCTCGTTTCGATTTTAAACATTTTTATATATTTTTTATATAGCATTACAATGTAAAAATGTACTTTAAATTGTTTATGATTATAGGGAGGTGGACACACGACAGAGTATCTACCAAACGAGTCTTCTACCATGTTCCAAAGGTGGATCAGTGGCCAGCCTTTGTAATAGAGACTCATCGCCTTAACATATAACACATGCATGTACGTACGATGAAATATTTGTAATGGATAAGGTTCATGGCCTTTGTGATCATGCTTCTTTGTCCTTTTGTCTCCTTGAATTGGTTTTCTCATTAGCGGCTTGATACTAAATAAGTTTGAACTGAAGTTTCTGTTAACGAATCGATTTTTGGGTTAAACTCAAAGTCCTGGCCTATGTTAGTAAGTGCCAAAACTAGAGAGACACAGCTTGATTAGTTAGAGTGTCATTTTAATAACAAAAATGGTTCTTTAGGTTCTACTGAATCGTCTCTGAAGCCACTTCTCGAACTTGGTTCGCATATAGGATGAAGCAAAGAAAGAGATAGCGAAAATGTAATGAGAAACTGATGATGCTTTGTAATATGTTCCAGTAGATATCTTGAACTAACATGTATATTTGGGATTGTTCGGCCCATGTTGTGATCAATAGAAGCATAAAAGTTACAAAATCCAATAGTATAACTTGGGCTTGGTCCGGCCCATGTTTTAATAAACATCGAAAATAAAAAGAATTTATCAGAGCCAGGTTTCGATCCTGGGACCTGTGGGTTATGGGCCCACCACGCTTCCGCTGCGCCACTCTGATATTATTGATAAATCATAGCATAAAATATTTATATATAATATTTAATTAGCATATAATGGTTACACTTCAGTTTTCTTCTCACACACACACACTTACTAGTTACTATGTTACCCTAAACCATAAAGAAGAGAAACAAACACAAAAAACAAATACGATACTTAAGTATAACATTACAAAGTAGAGTTCATAGTTTTGACAACAACAACATACTTATATTGCCTTTGCATAGTCATGATCATAATACTCTTCATCATTAGCATCCATGTATACTTCTTCTTCCTCTTCTTCTTCAACATCTTTTCCATTTGGTACAACCGAGCGAGGAAGGTTAGGGATGGTTCTTGCCTCACTAACAATCTTCATAATCTCCTCTACTCTTTGAGGAGAAAATTTGACAAGATTAGCATTCCTCTGGTAATAGATTGCTTGAGCTGACTCTTTAAGCTCTCTTGGCAGATTCTTTAGGAACCATACATGACTCTTGATCTCTTTAAGCGTACATCTCTGTAATATAGTTACAAAACCAACAAATTATTAAGAAGAATGAGTTGAAACTTGAAACACAATCAAACTTATATATAGATAAAAACTTACATGTAATGGGTTGGCAACAAATATACGAGATAACAAGTTTTTGCAGTCTTCAGATATGTGAACATATTGAGGAATCTTGTACTTTACAGCCATTATTTTCTGTAAAACCAAACCAAAAAGAAAATGTTGTATGATTAATTATACGAATCAGTACTTCGTTTACTTCATATTTGAAAAATAAAAGATATAAACCTGAACAGTTTTACGAATATTGCGAGGGTCTTTGCGGTCTTCGAAAGGGTAAGCTCCTACTATCATAACATAGAGTGCCACTCCACAAGACCATACATCAACTGACTGTAGAAAGATTTATTATCGAACAAACCTAATTAGAGTCATATATATTTGTAAAGATGTAATAAAAAATCACAAGTTTTTTTCATCTTATTTTTTAAAACCTAGACTTATAATTTCCATTTCATGTCAGCCAATATATGCCAAACTCGAATACAAAAATTTACAGAAAAATTAGAACCAAAGATTATTTTTACATAATAGCAAATATAATTAAGAAAAATTATTATCTAATTCAACAATAAATGTTTTGTTTCTAACATATTCATTCAAAGGTATAGTGGATAAGTTGATTTTGAATGGACAAGTGTCTTAGCTAAATATTTTGATTAATATAAGAAGGTAACACCTAGGAAATTTATGCAAGTTATTTCCGAAAACAAATATTAAGTTGACTAAATGATGTTGATAGACGTTAATTATTTGAAAGTAGCCATATAGTTTTTGAATAACTATTAGATAAAAGTCGATGTAACGTATACTATTACTAATCAAGATTGGTAACACATGTCATGCATGAGTGGGATATTATTATGATGGAAGATTTTGTCGTGTACTACTCTTTTTCCATGAAATTATGGTTTTTTATAACTATTCAAAGTGGAATGTCCACCTAAAATAAACTATTGAAAGTGGTTGTAAATGTATTCATTATTGGACGAAATTAATTAAAAAAAACCCCAAAATATCTTCATTATTGGATGAATAATGTTATATCTTCATTACTAAAAACTATATAATTAAAAAAATATATATACCTTTCCGTCGTACTCTGATCGACAAAAAACCTCCGGTGCTATATATGCCGGAGTTCCCACCGTTGATTTTGGGTTGGAATGCAGAACAGAAGACTGTTGTAAGAAGAAAAAAAATAGAAATTAAAAGACATTCAGAAATTTAGATTTTCATTTACAAAAATGAATTATTATAAATAAATAAATAAAACCTTTGAGTAGCCAAAATCACAAATTTTCAAACGTGGTGCAGGGCTTCCATCAAGCAATGTGTTCTCTAATTTCAGATCTCTATGACATATTTGCTGCAAATATTCATTTGTTTCACTAATAACAAAAAAAAAACATATAACAATTTGGTGTGTATTAAACTTAAATTTTTTTACCATTGTATGTAAGTAATGAACTCCACAAATGAGTTGCTGAAAAAAATATCTAGCCTGCACATGTAGAATTAGTACTTTAACAAAAACAATAGATTAGTGATTAACTAGTTAAGTGCTTGTTGTTCTTGACAAGAGTTTCATATATCAAAAACCTCAGCTTCGCTAAATCGACCAGCACTAGATATTCGATCGAACAGTTCTCCTCCAGCTGCATACTCCATTACAATTCCAAGATGTGTAGGAGTTAGAACAACCTATATCATTACCATCAAAGTGTCAACCTATAGAATAAATCATCCGACAAAGCTAGAAGAAACAAGACTTGAGTCACTTACCTCTTTGAACCGAACAATATTGGGATGATTAAGAGATCTATGATTGATAATTTCTCTTGCAACGTTCTCATCTATCTATATCAAACAATCAGTTTTTGGTATTAGTTAATATGATATTCTTGAATCTTGATATCATCAAGAAGAGAAGAAACACAAAAGAAAAATGAAACGAACCGTGTAGCCTCGATCGATGAATTTGACAGCCACAAGCTCGTTTGTTTGCTTATTACGCATAAGCCGAGCCAATCCAAAATTACCAAATCCCAAATCCTTCACCATCTCATACTTCTCCATGGCTACAACTTTTTTTTTTTTGCTCACTTACCTAAAGTGTTCTTTTAATATCTACTTTTGTGCTGCTTTATGAATCTTCTCTTCCTAAATATTTGTGGAGAAAGATCTTATATAGATAGAGTGAGAGAGAAGAAAGTGATATTAGTTTATACACGTTGCAAATATGACGACTACTAGACTAAATGTGTTGAAAGAGCTTTTCACGACATCAATGGTCATGACTTATTCTATTTATCAAGTCTATTAGTCTTTAGTACATTTCGGTTTAGAGTTCGGTTTAATTGATGATTTGGATTTTTTAAAAGATAATGATATCAATGGAATTCATTATGTGTCTCGTTTTTGTGCTTCTTCATTTGTCTCTCGTGAATAATTAAGTGTTGATGGAGCTTTCCTCGAGAAATATGTTGGACATCTAGTTGCTATTGGCCTTGATCTTGCTTGTTTTTTGAGACTAGAGATTTTGGTAACTCATCAATGGATATCTTTGATGGTGTGTAAGAAAATTAGGTGATATTTGTATGTTTGTCTATTTGATTTTTCTTTTTTTGATAACTAAAAAGTTCTGAACCATCCCTTCACGCCCGAAACTAGAGCATGTCATATGATGTAATATGGTCTTGTCTCAAGCGCTATTCGAACCTGCAACTTCTAAACATTAGTCAAAGATCTTTACCAATTGATCTATTAGCACTTAGTGTATTAAACTTTACCTATTCACGATCTTTATAGATTAGGCATATTTCTAAACTTTGGTGAATTTGTTGCGTCTCGCAAATTCTTTGCACTTACAAGTGGTAGTAGAAGAGACTTTTTTTCATGGTTGTCCAAATCAGAGAAAAAAAGTGAAACCATCCAATTATAAGTAACTCCATAATTTTTTTAATTGTAAGCTATAATAGTGGTACTTACTGTTGATCAGCTATTTCAATCAAATTTAACTTTTAAAAGCCTATGGAGTTCCCAATAATAATGGATGTACCACCAACTTCTTCACGCACTCCATCGTCCATTTTAAGGCTCTGCATTTCAAAAGGCGGTTGCGTGGGAATAACTCGACCACCAACCCAAATCACTGATCCGATTGAATCTCTCAAGACCTAACCTATTCTAGTAACAACCTAATACTTTGTCCAAGCTTCGTTTATGTTACATTCCAATGTGCATATACAGAGTGGGAGCTAGCCACTTAACCTTTATAGTACATGTGGAACATTTTCCATAGTATCTTGTTAGTGTAAGAGAGTTTCAGGCCTTTGATAATCTTCGATAAACGATCATTTTAATGGGAAATATTGTTTGCTAATGTTATTATACTCTTTGCAGGATCAGATGAAACTCTAATGACACCAAAAACATCTTACAAGCTTCATTACGACTAGCAAAAATTGATCAATTTAAACGGTTTTTTCATCACTTACAACTTAAGCTGCATCTCTCAAGCAGAAAACTAGGTATCACTTGCCCAATTCTTTAAGAAAACCCCTGTCTTATTATTGCACACCATAAACAATGCCAAAAGACTACCCACACTATACAGGCATAATAGCCATGGTAAAAACAGAAAACACTAAACCTGAATACTCAATAAAAAGAGATAAAGATCATAAGTAAACTAGTCTAACATGTCACTAAAGAGAAATCAACTTACATAAAATCTTTATTGTGTTAGTTGTTCTTTTTCCTTCTTCTCACATATGTGATTAACGCCTTTGATGTACTAGACGTATCAGAAGCTACCACTAGTTCTTTACCGTGTGACACATTTTGAGTCTCCTCCCATTTCTTCGAAAGAACAACACTAACCTCAATCAAATCCAGCATTAACATCTTCATAAATAAACAGCAATCTTGATACAAACCTTCTTATTTACACGATGTGTAGACATCAGCTCATAAAACTTCCGCATCATCATCTCTTCTTCCACCTGAAAAAAAATCTCTGGTTCTTAATCACATCATATATCAAAGTCATTGTTTCTGAAGAGAACTTTCTGGTTCATATATTCATATCAAATGTATCACTAAGTTTCTTCAAACAAACCTCAAGTTTTTGGAGTTCTTCAATCACGGTTTTACGAGTTTCTGCAAGCAACTCATTTTGCTTATCCAAATGGCTGTTTATATGCTAACAACGATAAATTCGTTACACACACACAAGCTAAGAAAATAAGCGTAAAACTGAAACAACGACGCACTTTAAAACAGCATCGATATGTTCAGGATCCATGCTCCACAAAATGGCTCAACTTCTTCCTACTGATCAACAATAAATCAAACTTTCATGAGAAGACAATTGAACAAAAGCATATAAGACACAGTATATAAAGTTATGTTATGTGTAGCTAAAACCCCCCCAAAACATGATTAGGATAAAGGATAAGTCTTTTATCACTAATTCATCAATACACACATCACTAAAGAAGAAATGATTCTTAAAATCTGAAGGGTACGATCAGAAAACATATACGAACATGTTTAGGGGTGGAAACATAACGAACCAAAGAGCTTTTAGAGGATGAAGATCTTAGTTAGACAATTCGTCGAACAACTGGTGTGCAATAGTCTCTTTAACCATCAATTTCCTCTCAATACCAAACCATGCTTGAATCAATCAAAAACCATCAATTACATCTAAAACAGAGGTATAAGATCGAAAAGCAAGTTTCTTTCTAAAAAAGCCGAGCGTTTTGATGATACCTTCACCTCCACTAACACATGACGATTCTCTTCTTCGATCTCTCGTTCTGCTTTTTGAATTGACAAAATAAAGTTTCTATTTTTATTGAAAGCAGAGGCTCTTTTATCATTTGGGTCTATGTGCTTCTGGTTGGGTCAGAGGCTTTCACTAGTTTTTTTTTGTTTTTTTTTTTTGTTTGTTTTGTTTTGATTCAGAGATGTAGTCCCAACTTCTGAAATATTTTAAGTTTTGGCATATCCTCGTATTTTAATTTTAGTTCGGGTTGGTATGTTGCGTAATCACAAAATTAAATAGATAAAAATTAAGTTGGAGATTAAATAAATTTTCATATTAAAAATTACAACATGATATAAATCTAATTTTTGCGTTTCGAATTTTTCTTTTATTAATTCAAAATGTCATATCTATGTTTTTGGTTTTTGTTATTCATATGCAATTTTTTTTTATTAGCAAAATAGTCGAAGAAAACATTAGAAACCCGTCATTTTATCAGTATAAGAGTTACGAATAAAAATTTTATATTTTGATTTCTATATGTATAGATATATTTTTTTGTTACAAGAAAGTTCTAAACCTCTTTTACTTGTAGTTATGTCCCATTTTTTCATGATCTTTGTGGCATATTAGCACGAAAATCATTTCTAAATGTAACCTTATTCGTAATGTATTGTAACCTATTGAACCAACCGCACTTGTGTATTGATATTTGTAGTTGTAGTTTTCTATTAGGTTTCTCTGAATCTTGATTAAGTTTTAAAAGTATGTTGGAAAGTAGAAACGTACATATATGTGTATCGAGAAACGATCTCTGACTTCTCATGTTATGCTTTCACTAACCCATCTTTATAGAAAACATACACAAGAAAAAAGATTTGATTCGTTTTGTCCTTTGAATCAATGTTACCAAGAAGTTCTGATACTGCGCAGGGAACTGCTTTTTTTTTTTTTTTTTTCCATTGAACAACCCACAAATCACAAACACAAAGATATTTTGTTGTCTTTGCACAAACCAAAACCTTGTGTTTAGTTTTATTTTCGTGAGACATTACACAATGGGCAAGCAAAAAGAGGAGTTCATGTGTGAAGCACTAAGCAAAAAAAAGAAAGAAAAGAAAGAAAAAAGAGAGAATTAGTAAGATAAAAAAGAGAAACAAACAAGCGTGGTGTTTGGGTTTTCGAGCCTTTGAGGTTGGTGGGTGTGTTGTTGTGAATCTCTAAGTTTTTTTTTTTTTTAACTTTATACGTATAAAACAATGTTTTTTTTTTCTTTCATTTTTTCATTTTATTTAAGCTTTCTTGAGAGCAAGATTGAGCATATATAGATCTCTTCTAAAGGTCTTGAGAGTCTTGTGTGCAATAATAACTTCTTGAAGAGAAAAATGAAGTTTATGAAACTTGGAACCAAACCTGATTCGTTTCAATCTAAAGGAGACAATGTTAGGTTTGTAAAACCAGTTTTTTTTTTTTAGCTCTTTGTCTATCTCTCTAATGATTCTTGAGCAATGTTTTCGTGTAACTGATATTGTTTTTTTTGGTCTTAGGTGTGTAACAACTGAGTTAGAAACAGAGATCATCGTCATCATTGGCAATGTCAAATTCTATCTCCATAAGGTATGAATAAAAGTCTATAGCTCTTGAAACATATCAAAGAACAAGAGTTTATGTTTTGTGTGTTTTTCTTTTCAGTTCCCGTTGCTGTCGAAAAGCGGATTCTTGCAGAAACTCATAGCAACATCTAAAAATGAAGAGAAGGAGAAGAACCAAATTAAAGAGATTGACATATCAGAGATTCCTGGTGGTTCAGTTGCTTTTGAGATTTGTGTCAAGTTCTGTTACGGCATCACGGTAACTTTAAACGCTTACAATGTGGTCTCGGCTCGTTGCGCGGCTGAGTTCTTGGAGATGAATGAGACGTTTGAGAAAAGCAATCTTGTTTACAAGATTGATGTTTTCTTGAACTCAACTATCTTCCGTAGTTGGAAAGATTCTATCATTGTTCTTCAGACCACTAGAGATCTCTTGTCTAATTATTTGGAGGAGCTTGTGAAGCGTTGTCTCCACTCTATTGCTTCAATAGCTTCGATAGACACCTCAAAGGTCAAGTGGTCTTATAGTTACAACAGAAAGAAGAAGCTTGAGAAGGTGGGGAAACCAGAAGAAGCGGTTCCAAAAGACTGGTGGGTCGAAGATTTATGCGATCTTCACATTGATTTGTATAAACAAGTCATTGAAGCAATCAAGAACCGAGGGAAAGTACCGAATAACGTTATCGGTGAAGCGTTACACGCTTATGCAAGAAGAAGAATAGCTGGTTTTAGCAAAGGTTCAGTGCAAAACATTGATAGATCTTTGACTGATATCATAGAACTTATCCCGGATGAGAAAGGAAGTGTTTCTTCTAGTTTCTTGACCAAGTTACATCGAGCATCGATCTTTCTCGGATGTGAAGAAACCGTGAAAGACAGGTTAAAGAAGAGAATCAGCGAGCAGCTTGAAGAGGCAACTGTGAATGATATCTTAATGTATGATTTGGATATGGTGCAAAGCCTAGTGAAGGAGTTTATGAACATGGATCCAAAAACTCAATTGAAAGTATCAGTCGCAAAGCTCATTGATGGATACTTAGCTGAGAAATCAAGAGATCCTAATCTTTCTTTACAGAACTTCCTCTCTCTCCTGGAGACACTCTCTAGCTTCCCAAGACTGTCTCATGACGGGTTATATCGCGCAATTGACATGTTTCTCAAGGTAAAAAAAAAAACAAGATTCAAAGACGCATTTTTTTCAAAACGATTCTTGATTGACATAGGGTTTGATTTTGGCATATTTTTTCAGGAACATTCGGGGATTAGCAAGAGCGAGAAGAAAAGATTATGCGGGTTAATGGATTGCCGGAAACTATCCGCGGAAGCGTGTGAACATGCGGTGCAGAACGAACGTTTGCCAATGCGGGTGATTGTGCAAGTTCTCTTCTTTGAACAGATTAGAGCCAATGGTTCATCAACAGGATACAGCACTCCTGAGCTTACTACCACCACTCTAAACACTGAGGATGAGGAATGGGACAATGAGAAAGAGTTTTGATCTCATCATTATTGAATCTTTTCTCATTTGTTTCTTCAGAACTACGTCAAACTTTTGAGTTTCTTTTATTAGTTTTCTGAATTGGAAACATTTTGATTCTTGACCTTTGTAAATGGGTCAGAACCGTTAGGTAGTAATGGGCTTTGTATCTGGCTTGAAGCTGTGCCCATCTCAATTTTTAACGAGGCTAAAGTCAGAAGGAAAAATTATGCATTTGTAATCCAAAAAAATACCGCAAAATTTTAACCAAAATCGAATCAAATTTATCTAAAATCGTATTAGTTCCATTGTTCTTAGAAGAAACTGAACTAAAACCGAATTGATTTTAGCTGAAACAAAACAAACTCAATTAACAAGTTTTATAAAATCTTTTTATTTACATATTTTATAATATGAATTAAAGCATATATTGATTGTAAATTTTTTTAGTTTACCAAAACCAAACTGAAGTCCAAAGTAAAGTCCATTCTAGTTTTTTGGATTCTCTCACTTGTACACTTTTGAAAAACCTTTCAAAATAATTAAAGATAATTATTATTTTGCAAGATAACCTTCTATATAAAAAAAAATACAAATTTATAGTACAATCTCAAAAACTACTAGTAATATAGTTTTTTGACATCTGTATAAATCGTTTAAACGTGATTTAATGTGACAAAGTAGAAAAATAACCTCCATATCAAATAAATGCATCTCAATATCACGTTTAAAGCCATTTTTTATCACGTTTTCTTTAGTTTATATTGATCGTTGTCGAAATATACGGATTGTCTTGCCAAAAAGGCACTTGTACGAGTTATTCTTTTTTCTCATGTAAACTCTGACATTCCGGACTGATTCTCCGGAGGAAAGCCAACTCCTATTAGTTTTTGCTTCCAAGATACAGTCCTTTCTTGAATAAATGACATGACATCCGTGTAAATTGTTTAAAACGTTAGTCAAAACGTTTAAATACATCTTTTAGTATGTTTTAATTAGTATACTCCTTCTGTTTTATAAAGAATGATGTTTTGATATTTTCTTGTTTCGCAAAAATTGATGTTTTACATATTTTAATTCATTAATATTAGTATTTTGTTAGCTTCAAGAAATAATCTTTGATAAAATTTGAATTTTTGAAATGTTATGGCTTATAATTAAATAATATTTTTTCAAACATTCAAAATAATCAAGTGATTCTCTCTACTTTTTATTTTATTCTAATCACAACTAGTTAAAAAAAAAAACTCAAAATCAGAATAACAAAATCATAAACAGATTCCCCACAAAGCAAATAATATATTTCATCTAAGATTCTCATAATAAAAATATTACATTCAAAATTCTCTTAATAAAAGAATACTAAATTCAAAAATAAAAATCTATTACATCTTCTCCGCTTCCCAAAAGTTTAAAAAGACATCTTAATCTAACAAAAGAAAGCTAATTAATAATATTCCTTTCCTTAATATAAATTAATTACGTCATTTTTTAAAGTTAATAAAAATTAAAATTCTCTTGGGTCAACAAAAATAGATTCACCAGGTGAAGACTTAGTCCAATCACCAACAGACCCGTCACTGTAGTCTTCTCCAAGCCGTTTCATACACCACAAATCCTCGGCGCACGATAGCACTTTCCAATGTGGTATCCCTCGCCGGAGCGGCTCACCTCCGGCGACTTCCGCCGCTACAACACTACATCCTCCTTCCTTGGCCATATTATGCGCGTGATTACACAATGCTTTCACCATTTTCTCTGCGCATGGTCCTTCTCCGCCGATTCCGTACATAAAATGTAGCCCGAACGGTCGGAACACCGCCGGAATTGACGGGATTTTCAAAAACGGCAGCGTTTTATCAACCAAACGCGTCGTTTTAGCTAACACCCGCCTCAATCTCGACGCGCCGCGAACTTCTAAACGAAATGAATCGTTACAATTCCACACACTTAAAACCGCCCATGAATCGGGTGGATACTCCAAGAATTTAGCTGAACCGGGCCAAGAACCGAACCCGGATCCGTAACAACTGCCACGTGGAACAGCGACGAATGTTCCTAACGAGAGTTTGTTATTCAAAACCGAATCAATATCTCGGGGAAAAAACTCAGTCGTGCTAAACCGGATCCGGTACAGTAACTCAGCGTCAGTTGGGTCAAGCTTGATTATAGTCACCCGACGAGAAATGTTAACCCGGTGCGCGTAAACCGGGTTAACCAAAATCGATGGTTTACGAAACTCGGAGTAACCACATTTTCCCGTGAATAGGTTAACCGAAGCGTGGTTGTCGTTTTCAGTTGCGAAATATGAATACTCAGCGCCGTTTTGACTAAACCAATCTTCCATAGCCTTCACGAGCTTAAACCCTATCCTTTGCCTCCTGAAGTAATTAAAAACGTGATTAGTTTAGTCTAAGCTCACAGTAATTAAGTATAAATATGTAACGCTAATTACGTGAGGCTTATTAAAAAAAAACGTTACCGGTGCGTAGGAGAAACGCGAAGGCCCAAAATGTAAGCGAGTTTAGTGTAAAGAGGTTTGGTAGTAACGACGTCGTTTTGAACGTTTTGAGTTAAATCAAGTCTTTTGGTTGTGCTACCACAAGTAACGGTTTTAATACATCCTCGTATCATTCCAACTAACTCTTTCTTCTCATCCGTACCAATCTCAGCCACCTGTTACAGTTTCCAAGTTTTTGTTAAAACGTTTTTTTTTGTGTATTTTTAAACTAAAACAAAACAAATTAAATTTAAACTTTTGTGTTAGTTAGTTAGTTCATGTCTTTTGCTTCTTTACCAAATGACCTTGACGCAAGAAGGTGAATGTCGTTTCACTTATCATTTTTAAAAACAAATATTAAAAGAAAAAAAAATTGGTTAATTGGTTCATAAATTTGTAGTTTGGTTTATAATAGAGATATAACTTGAATACTTTTGGTTGACAAAAGAGAAAAAAAAAAACTTGAACAACTTTGGTATAGTAAAAATGAATTGTTTTTTATAATATTTTGGAGTTTTTAGAGAAAAATAATTACCAGCATGAGGTAAGAATGTGAATGTCGTTTCACTTATCATTTATAAAAAAAAAATCAAAAATCATTTAATTTGTTGATACCAAAAAAAAAAAAAATTGGTTAATTGGTTCATAAATTTGCTTTCGCCACTGTAATAAAAATAAAGAATTTTGTTTGACAAATGAAAACAAATTCTTGAACAACTTTGGTTTTTAACTTAGGTTTTGGAGAAAATAATTACCAGCATAAGGTAAGAAGGTGAATGTCGGATACGGCAAATAGGGTCACCTAAGAGATCAGTGAAGAGAGAAAGCTTTCCGGTTGGGCCAACTTCGCAACGCCGTTCAACTTCTTCGACGGTGGCTAAGTCTTTACTCGGGTCGTATTCTCTTACCTCCACGACCACCGTCGTCATATTCTCTGTTTTGTCTTTTTTTTTTCAAAATCCCTAATAAGTAATAAACAAGAAACAGAGGAGGGAGAGAGAAGAAAGAAGAGAGAACTCTGAGAAGTGTGAAGTAGTAAGTAGCTTAGGGTTTTTTTATAAAAGAAAGAAGTGAGACTGATGCAATTAAAAAGTCAGCAGATTTTCCGAGGACATAGGATTTTTTTTCGTTTTTATTTTTTGTAACGTAAATTAACGTGAGGTATAAGCAAAGAGAACACAAGAGCTATGGATTTGTAGGCTTTGAATAGATGTTCCGAGTAAAGCGGAATAATCCGTCAACGATTTAGTTTATTCTATTTTTAGAACAGAGAATAATTCGTTATGCACTAAGTTTATTTAATGTAAAAGTGATCCGTAATTAGTTGACACTAGATTTGTTCTGCTTTTTATTATCGTACCATTACGATTTAAAAATTATTATTAGTAAATAGAAGTGATTTAATTTATAGACGAATTTATCAGTTCGAATGCCGCAAGCCCGCAACTATTCGAACAAATATTTTGAGCTATATAAACTATTTGAGAAAGAAAAAAATGTGAAAGTTTTAAAAGTTTATGAAAATGACCTTTTGCAGTATTATTTTCGGCTGCATTTTTTTGTTGAAGTTTATTGTAATAGTTTCTTTTATTACTTTTATGCCGTTTGGAAATCTGCTAAATAGTTCTATCATTGGAGAGAGAGTTTAATATATAGGACCCAATATTAATTATGCTCATTTCCATGATTTATTTTTGGAATATACTGTATTAATTTATTAAGTGAAAAAACAATTCAATAAACAAAAAACGTATCTAGAAGAATTAGATATTGTGAGATCATACAAAGATTAAAAAAGAATTTGGAATGATCATATTAGTAGTTATCAAAACTCGAATAATGGATGGGTTGAGTTTTAATTATTCACTTCTTTTCCTCGATTATTTTAAAACCAACTGTTAGGAATTTTATATTAAGATATCAGAGAAGAACTCAATATATATATGGAATAAGAATAAGTTTCAATAATAATAATAATAGAAAAAATAGTGCTTTGTCGATGGTATGATGTGAGAATATTAAATGGGTGTGTGAAGTGTGATTAAGACACGAGAGCATTGATATCTCGAACTTGCTCAGAAATGAGACGTGTAAAGTGTGACTTATAGAGAAGTGGAAATGGCGGCTTATGGCTATCTCTCTTTTCATGTTCTCTCTTTGTTCATAATTATCTCCTTTTGTTCTTCTTGTTCATGAACGTATGTGTGATTGTTAATTACTATTACCTCTAATCATTTGTACATTCCCACTTAGGCACTAACTCATTATTGTTATTAACACGGCATCATAAATGAGCAGTAATGTTAAATAAAATAGAAATATCATTATTCAAAAGTTAAAACTTTTTTTGTATATCATAACTAAGTAATAAAGTAAGGAACAATTCTTGGATTCACCCCTAAGGGTGAATCCTTTTGTTCACCCCCTTCTCTTGTAGCCAATAAAAATGATACATGTCATATTACTTTAAATTTGTCATATTTTTAATAAAACTTAAAATTAATAAATAAAACAAATTAAGTAAATAAAACATTAAAAAGAAATCAGTTTAGTTAACGGCGTCATCACTCGACACCACTTTTTTTTTAGGTTTTCAATTTTTTAATTTAGTGGCCATTGATTTATTTTGGATAACTGCTGTTCCTATTGCCATTGATGAACATCTCCACCCTCTTTTGTTGTAGTCATGGGCAACAAAATATAAGAGTTTGTTTGTTTCTCTCTCCAAAGAAAATATAAGAGTTTGTTTGTTTCTCTCTCTCCGTAGAAAAACAGAAGTGAGAAGGTTTCAAAACCAAAACAAACCTTCAATTTTTACTAGACTAACAGTATTAGATCAGATAATTTGGTTAAACAAGCCTGGGAGATACACCACCACTGTTATTTATGAGGTAAGGTCACGATATTAATATTGTAGCATCTTTACACACACGTATGCATATCTATATATTACACACGTATGACTAACTTTGTTAACCAAACAAAAAAACAAAAAATAAGCAGAGCTGATCATAATTACCTGCATGTAATTTGGTTGATGTTAGAAGTATGGTTGAAGACTATGTTTTGATTTAGTTATAATCTCAGAATATTTTGGAAGAAATCGGCTATACTTGGTGCTATATGCAACTGAAATAATTCCAGTTCAAATACAACGAAAAAAGGTGAAGACGTTCATCAATGGCCACTAAATTAAAAAATTGAAAACCTAAAAAAAGAGTGGTGTCGAGTGACGACGCCGAAAAAAAAACTGTATTTCTTTTTAATGTTTTATTTACTTAATTTGTTTTATTTATTAATTTTAAGTTTTATTAAAAATATGACAAATTTAAAGTAATATGACATGTATCATTTTTATTGGCTACAGGGGAAGGGGGTGAACAAAAGGATTCACCCCTAGGGGTGAATCCAAGAATTGTTCTAAAGTAAGTTACCAACTTTTAGTTGTAACTAAAGGTGATATTATTTAAGTTTATTTGAAATTTGAGTGAGTAAATTGTTTCGTCTCAAATACGTTAATAACTTTTAGTCAGAATGGTGATAATTTTTAAGTTTATTAGAAATGAAATTCTCGTTAGTAAATTGTTTTGTCGTAAATTATTATTAGTCGAGTTAAATATATCAAAAAATTCGGTGAATAGACTATTTGATAGATTCATTTATCCTAATACTAGATTTTAACCCGCGGTATACCGCGGGACGACATTTTAAAATGTATTCTTTTTATTAATTTTGTTTTGTATATAAGAGTGTATTACTATATTTTGATTGTTAATTATATAATTTAACCCGTAGAATATTATATGATCATTTATTTTTTATATAATTGTAATTTGATCAAATTAATTAAATAAATATAATATTTAAAATAATGAAATGATACTGACATAATATTCGGTTACATAGTATAATTTCACTCACAAAATATTTTGTGAGTTATACTATAGTAGACAACCCGTAAAAATATCTATAATCTTAATTATGTAAATTATAACTCGTTCCCAACATATGACCCGTGTTACAAAATTATCAATATTACTTTAGTACATCCATTTTTTTGTATCGTTTGAGTAATACATCCGTTTCTAAAAATCAAATTGCAACATATGCAAAAAAAAAATTCTATTTTTACTATACATATATTTATGTAACAATATAAATTTAAAAACAAATAAGGTCATATAAAGATATTGGAGAAATAATTG